CTGGCTGGCGCTATAGCCTTTATCAACTCAAGCTGCTTTAGTATCATACATATCGTAGAATCACTGAAGGCGTCACATTCTCCCCTCTCTCTTCCTCCTCCACTTTGGTACTTTGCTACAATTTCTTTCTTCAATTCTATCGTGTTTCTCACTTTCTTTACCAAAGGACTGCCACTATAAAGCTTCTTTGAGCCCATGGTGGCTTATTTTGCAGTCATAATCAATAAACACAATGAGCGCATAGGGTAATGTTCACTCAAGGATAAACAAAGCTAGACTGGCTCACAATGCCTGTGCGGGCAGGCACGCAGGCAGACAGGTCTGGTACGCCGGCTGAAACACGGGGCACAGGCTGAAACTTGGGACAAAATTTAGCTGAAAAGGGTGGTCAAAACTCAAAGCAACCGATACTCAGGGCGGCTGAAACTCTAGGTTCCACTACTGGGAAGATGGAGCAAATATTTTGAAAAAATTGTTGAATAATAATGAAGGGGCAGCAGTAATTATATGCATTGGACAAGGAGCAACACTGCATAAGAATAAGGAACATCTGTGGGGAATGTGAGGAAGTGGGAAGAATGAATAGGTGCAAAGCATCTGGCACAGATGGGATTAAGACATGCAAAAAGCAGGTGGGAAAATAATGGGGTGTATTTGTTCAATATATGCAAGAAAGAAAAAATAGCACCTAAGGATTAGAAGACAACATGCATAGTTCCTTTGTACAAAGGAAAGGGGACCAGAGAATTTAAGAATTATAGGGAGATAAGGTTGTTGAGTATACTGGACAGTGTACAGTATAATTACTACTGAATGAAACAAAAGAAAGAAAGTATGATTGCAGAGAAGGAAGTAGGATTAAGGGAGGGTAGACAGTTTACATTAAAGCATACAAGTGACCAATACTTGGATAAGGTTAAAGAGCAGTTTGGTGCATTTATGGATGTAAAAAAGAGTATGATACAGTGGATAGGGAAGAAATGTAGATGTTGCAAATGTATGGAGTAGGTAGTATGGTAATAAAAGCAATAAATAGTTTTATGAGGATTGCAAGACTCGGGTTATGGTATGTATTATTGTAATCAAAACTAAGCGCTAAACTCACATTATGGTATGTAAGAGAGCACAGGACTATATCCCAGTGAAAGCAGAACTTAAACAGGGATATGTGATGTGACCATGATTGCTTAAGATTTATAGAAGGGTTTGTAAAAGTAAATGATAGGGTGTTGGGGAGAGGTGCATGATTAAAAGATGGATTTAATATAAAAGTGAGTTTTCACAGTTGCTCTTTGTTGATGGCAGTTCTTTTGAAACTAGTCTGAAGACTTTTCAAAAGCGGGTAGAAAATATTGGAAGGGTAAGCTAAAGAAGGAAATTAAAAGTTAATGGAAATACAAATATTAAATTCATGTCAATTGCTAAACCTATGTGGGTCATTCAGCATAAGATGTGGTAGAAGTTCGATCCTCCATCTGCAGAGCACGAGAAATGTGCTTCCTATGTGTCCTCGCCTATATGCAAAAAGTGGATATAGCAAACAGCCAAGTGGTAAGAGTAACAGTCAAGGCAATGAATATCAGAACAGAGTAAGGGGTGAGTATAATAAGATATTTGGAGTGAAAATACTATGAACCACAACAGATTATAGAAGGAGAGAGAAAAATAAAAGGTAGTGGTACTAACACTTGCATGGGTGCGAGGCATAAGTTTTGAAAGTTGCAGCAAGGTGGCAGCTAGAGGCAGTGGAGATGTCATGTTAGAGATGTGGTGTGAATACTATGAAGAGGATTTGGAGTGTAGAAATTAATAAAGCATGGGAGTCATCAAGGACATAATTCAGAAGGCCAATGGAAGTTTGTCAAGGTGGTTTAGGCATTTAGCCCTTTGACTGTTGAGGTCGTATATATACGTCTTACGAGGTACCGTGTTTGACGTATATATACTCATAAATTCTAGCGGCTTCAAATCAAGCAGGAGAAAGCTGGTAGGCCCACATGTGAGAGAATGGGTCTGTGTGGTAAGTGTGCACCATATAAAAAATATACTGGAGCATGCAGTGCATAATGAGGAAAAAAAAACCGACCGTTTTTTTAATTAAAATGCCGACTTTGTGGTCCTATTTCGTATAGTATTTATGGTTGTATTCTCATTTTCTTGGTCTCGTTTGATAGAATGGAAAACATATTATAGAAATAGAGGTGATTTTGATTGATTTTACTATAAAAAAAAAAAACCTGGAAATGAAGCTCAAAGTAGGGGAAATGTTTGATTTTTGCCGATGTTCAAAAGTAAACAAATGTCATTGTCCAATAAAAGTCCAACTAGCCCTTCTAATATGCAGTCATGAATGGGTTGAGGTTATTTATACAATTATTACAGTATTGCAGTAGTCTGCATAACAGTAAATCTTCTATTTTTTGTTTGAATAAAAATTCAAAATAGAAAGCAAGAGTAATATCAGAGGGGCTTGGAGACGTGACTGATCAACAAAGAAAATGTTATTTTAGAGCCAGGAATGTCTGCATTGTTCATTCTGGACCTTATTTTGAAATTGTCATATTTTCTAATTTTCGTGAAATTGGCCAAATTTCTGACCACGTTATTGGGTAGCTGAAATCAGTAAATGGGCAGTTTCTTATACTCAATCGATAGAAAAAATGGAGTTCTAAAGAAATAACTATGAGTTTGGTCGACTGGAACAATGGATAAAGCCGAAAATAGGGCTCAAAGTGTGAGAATTCACCGATTTGTAAATATCGCCGAGGTCACTAACTTCGCGAGAGCGTAATTCCGTCAGTTTTCCATCAAATTTCATGTTTTTTGGTGTCATTACAATCAGGAAAAGATTCTCTTATAATTTCATAAGAATTTTTTTTTTTTTAAATTTTGCGACACCAGGAGGCACTTCAGGATTGGGGGTTGCGACAGTCAAGGGGTTAACCCTTTGAGGGTCGACAGGCCCTCTCCGAAACTCGTTCTCAGGGTCGGCCAAATTTAAAAAAAAAAAAAATTATTTTCTCTTATGAAAAGATAGAGAATCTTTTCCCGATCATAAAGACACCAAAAGTTTGAAATTTGATAGAAAACTTACGGAATTATGCTCTCGCAAAGTTAGCGGTCTCGGCGATGTTTGCGCATCGGCGATTTTGCCCACTTTGAGCCCCATTTTTGGCCAATTTCACTGTACTAGTCGACAAAAAACATGAATATTTCGCTAGAACTCCATTTTTTCTATCGAATGGATACAAGAAACCACTCATTTATGAAATTCAACTATCCAGTATAGTGGTCAGAATTTAGCAATTTTGCCAATTTCACACAAATTTCAAAAGATGCCAATTTCGGAATAGGGTCCAGAATAAACAAGAAAGACATTCCTGGCACTAAAATGACATTTCCTCTAGTCATTAGTCATGTCTCAAGTCCCCTCTTATATTCTTTTGCTTTCCACTTTGAATTTTTATTTTCACAAAAAATATAAGATTTACTGTTATGCAGACTACTGCATTAGTGTAAAAAATGGTATAAATATTATTGGTGCACTTGTGAAAGAATATTAGACTCACCAGTTGACGTGTATTGCACGCTTGGCACGATTTGTTTACTTTTGAAGTTTGGTAAAAATCGAACATTTCTGCTACTTTGAGCTCAATTTCAAGGCACCTTTCTTTGTAAAACCAGTCAAAATCATCTCAATTTCTGTAATATGTCTTCCATTCTATAAATGAGACCAAGAAAACTAGAATACAACAATAAATACCATACGAAAATACACTGCAAAGTCGCTGATTTATTAAAAAAAAATGGTCAAAGTTTTTTTTTTTCTCATTATGCACTGTGTGCTGCAGGATTTTTTTTAGACTGTGCACACTGACCACATAGACCCATTCTTTCATATGAAGGCCTACCAGCTTTCTCCCACTAGATTTGAGGCCGCTAGAATTTATGAGTACTAGTACGTCAAAAACCCCTACGCGTAAAACGTACTAGTACGACGAAAACCCTCAAAGGGTTAAAGGGGATAGAGGGATAGGAAGATGTGTATAAATTTGGAGTGGAAAGGAGGGACTGGGTTTGTCCCAGGAAAAGTTAGAGGAAGGGTAAATAAAGATTCTGAATTGCAGATGTTTGAGCATCTAGTAGGTTTGTGTAAACGTGTTCAGTTGCGCTGATTGGAGAAAATGTTTCTTTTATACTTTATGTAATGTTGGCATGTGAGCAAGGTAATATTTATGAAGATTGCAGGAAACCAATCAGCTGGACTTTGGTCCTGAAGATGAAGGGCAATGTCTGCATTCCAGAGGGGTGGAGATGTTGCAGTTCCGAGTGTCGTCAGAATTGTGATGTTAGTACACTTCTGGCAAGACAGTAAGTGAAAGAATTTTTCCTCTAGTGGTAAAGGCCAATGATGAAATTATCCTTTGCTTAACAAGGATTTTTTAAGACTGAAATTTCCATAAATCTTTCTTGTTCATATGATACCTAAATTATATGGAAGAGGAAATTAGTAAAGATGCCCAGTATACAACAGCATCCACCAGGGTACAGTATGATTATACTGTAATTACATATGCCTATGCCTTTTAAATTTATGTGCAATATCATACCACAACCATCAGCAACTGCGTTCTGGGTGTACCCCTCAAGGACATCACCACATCAGTGATCATTCTTCGAAAGGCTCATTTGGAACAGGCTCTCGCACAACAGATGTTAAATAAATGCAACTGATCAAATAAAAGCTGTGGCCCACAGTCTGCCCAATTTTCCTTCTGTTCTTGTTTGTCAATATTAATAATAAACCTAAATAAACTTGAAATACTATTAAAAAGATTTTCAACAAGCTGAAGTAGAACAACTTTTACCTTTTAAATTACATGCAAGTGCTCTGAATATAACTCGTACAAAACACAGGAGCAAACAAAGAGAAAAATTATGAAAAAATAATTTTAAGCACATGCTGAAGTTATCTGCCACTTTTTTTGTGTGTGTGTTACCTTCTGGCCACCTTTGAAAAATACAAAGGTTGGCATGCAAGAAATCTGGTGTTCCATGGCTACATCCTCACACTCATCAACATCCACCTTCAAGAATACCACATCAGTCATCTCTTCACTCATAGCCTGCAAAAAAGTTTATCCAAGTGCTGAATATTTAAGTATTATAAGAATATTTAGGTATTGTAAGAATATTTAAGTATTATAAGAATGAAGTATTATAAAAATAAAGTATTATAAGAATATTAAGCATTATAAGAATAATTACTCATGTGATAGAGTAATTAAAAATCTTAAAATACAGTGGTACCTTGGGTTACGAACTTAATTCGTTCAAGAAGACTGTTCGAGTGCTGGTACCAAACGAATTTGTTCCCATAAGAAATAATGTAAATTACAATAATCCATTTCAGACCCATAAAAATACACTAACAAAAGCACTTACAAAAATACACTTACATAATTGTTCGAGTTGGGAGCTGGTTGTATGCCGAGGTACCACTGTATAGCAAAGTTCAGTAAAAAGTTTCAATACAAATTTCACAACACTAACAACATTACACCTTAGCCTGACAATGGGTTGAGAAATCTGTCAAGTACGTACATGTAATATTTAACCCTCTGACTTTCTGTCGTGTATGTACATCTTATGAGCCAATGTGTTTGACGTATACATACTCAAAAATTCCAGCGGCTTCAAATCAAGCAGGAGAAAGCTGGTAGGCCCACATGTGAGAGAATGGGTCTGTGTGGTCATTGTGCACTGTATAAAAAAATCCTGCAGCACGCAGAGCACAATGAGAAAAAAAATCTCCGACCATGTTTTTGGATTAAAAAGCAGACTTTGAGGTTTATTTTAGTATAGTTTTTATGGGTATAGTCTCGTTTTCGTAGTCACATTTGATAGAATGGAAAACGTATTATAGAAATAGAGGTGATTTTGATTGGTTTTACTATGAAAAGGACTTTGAAATGGAGCTCAAAGTAGGGGAAATGTTTGATTTTTGCCGATGTTCAAGAGTAAACAAATGAGGTCACTGTCCAATAAATGTCTAACTAGCCATTCTAATATGCAGTCATGAATGGGTTGACATTATTTATACAATTATTACAATACTGCAGTAGTCTGCATAACGGTAAATCTTCTATTTTTTGTCTGAAAAAAATTCAAAACAGAAAGGCCTGGAGACGTGACTGATGAACAAAGAAAATGTTATTTTAGAGCCAGGAATATCTGCATTGTTCATTCTGGACCCTATTTTGAAATTGGCATATTTTTTAATTTGTGTGAAATTGGCCAAATTGAAAATTTCTGAGCACTTTATTGGGTAGTTGAAATTGGTAAATGGGCAGTTTCTCGTACTCAATCGATGGAACAAATGGAGTTCTAAAGAAATAGTTATGAGTTTGGTCGAGTGCAACAGTGGAATTAGCTGAAAATAGGGCTCAAAGTGGGAGAAATTGCCAATACGTAAATATCGGTGACGTTGCTAACTTCGCGAGAGCGTAATTCCGTAAGTTATCCATCAAATTTCATACTTTTGGTGTCATTACCATCGGGAAAAGATTCTCTATCATTTCATAAGAAAAAATAATTTTTTTTTTCAAATATTTTGCGATACCAGGAGACACCTCAGGATTTGGGGTTGCGACAGTCAAAGGGTTAAAATTTAAAAAAAATAATGCAGCAGTGACTAAAAAAAAAAATAGTTAAATGACATGGAAAATACAAAATGGAGAAAATTGAAATCATGCCTGGAAAGAAAAAGAATATCAGTGCGAATATATAAATTTTAAGTTAAGAATAATCAAGTCTGCCCGAAATGCCTAAAAGCTAGGTGGTTCTAGTGGCCCCTCTGTAATTAGTATTTTACTACACTGAAACATCAACACATAACCAAAGTTCTTATAAATAACTTTTGGTATACCATTAGGAAAAAACTTTAATTTTGAATTATTTTTTTTTTTAAAAACAGTGAACTATAATTTTTATACACCTATTCTTAGTAAAGTATGCATTAAGCAACAATACACGTAAACAATCCAATAGTGATTACAAAAAATCATTTAAATACTGGGGAGATTAATGCATGCACGCACACACGGCTCCTCTAAAAAAAATTTATCCTTCATTACCAGTTTCTGTCAATGTCTGCATAACTAGGTTTCCCATAAAATCTTTAACCACCAAATGTTTCTTCTTTTTGCAAAACAGTTAATAATACCATTTTAAGACATTAATTGCAACCCTTTTAAAACTCCTTTTTAAATCCTCTATATAAATACGTATTATCCTCTTATTCTGAATGATTTTTGCTCCAAAATATGCTTGCTGGGGGTACAAACTGCTTTATCACAATACTACTACTACTACAACCACAACAAACACACACAACACCACACACACACACATAACACATACTACAAAAAACCACCACACACACACCACCTACACACAACACAACACCTACACAACCTAACACACAACCTACACACACACACCTACACAACAACAAACCCCACAACACACACACACACTAGCACACACAAAAACTACCTACCACAACACACCCCCTTTACACACACACACACCTACACACCACAAACCTCCCAAACACAAACCTACACACGACAAACCTACACCCCACAAACCTCACACACAAACCTACACACACACAACTACACACACACAAACCTACACACACACAAACCACACACCACAACAAACCTACACACACACACACACACACACACACACACACCTACACACACACACCAACACCACACACACACACCACCTACCACACACACACCTACACACACACACCCTACCACAACACAACACACACACCTACACACACACACACACCTACACACACACACACACTACCAACACCACACACACAACCACCTAAACACACACCCCACACCTACACACAACACACCACAACACACACAACACACACACACACCACACACACACACACACACACACCAGGCCACCACCGGCCACATGGCCGGGGGCCCGAAACATGGAGAGCCAAGATGATGGATGTGGTACTTGAAAACCTCATGCATCAACATGTCAGGGACACAACCAGAGAGAGAGGGGAGGATGAGCCAGCAAGACTGGATCTTGTGTTCACCCTGAGCAGTTCAGACATTGAGGACATCACTTACGAGAGGCCCCTTGGAGCTAGCGATCACATGGTTCTGAGTTTTGATTATATAGTAGAGTTACAAGTGGAGAAGGTAACAGGAACTGAAGGGGACAGGCCAAACTATAAAAGGGGGGACTACACAGGTATGAGAAACTTCCTGCAGGAGGTTCAGTGGGACAGAGAAATGGTAGGAAAATCAGTAAACGAGATGATGGAATATGTGGCAACAAAGTGCAAGGAGGCAGAGGAAAGTTTTGTTCCCAAGGGAAACAGAAATAATAGGAAGACCAAAACGAGTCCTTGGTTTACCCGAAGGTGTAGGGAGGCAAAAACTAAGTGCAACAGAGAATGGAAAAGGTACAGGAGGCATAGGACCCAGGAAAACAAGGAGATTAGTAGAAGAGCCAGAAACGAGTATGCACAGATAAGGAGGGAGGCCCAGCGACAGTATGAAAACGACATAGCATCGAAAGTCAAATCTGACCCGAAACTGCTGTATAGCCACATTAGGAGGAAGACAACAGTCAAGGACCAGGTGATAAGGCTGAGGAAAGAAGGTGGAAAACTCACAAGAAACGATCAAGAGGTATGTGAGGAGCTCAACACGAGATTTAAGGAAGTATTTACAGTAGAGACAGGAAGGACTCTGGGGGACAGACCAGATGGGGACACCAGCAAGGAATACACCAACAAGTGTTGGACGACATACATACAGATGAGGAGGAGGTGAAGAAACTGCTAAGGGACATCGATACCTCAAAGGCAATGGGACCGGACAACATCTCCCCGTGGGTCCTTAGAGAGGGAGCAGATATGTTGTGCGTGCCACTTACCACAATCTTCAACACGTCCCTGGAAACTGGGCAACTACCTGAGGTATGGAAGACGGCAAATGTAGTTCCCATTTTTAAAAAAGGAGACAGAAAAGAGGCATTAAACTATAGACCTGTGTCATTGACGTGCATAGTATGCAAAATTATGGAGAAGATTATCAGGAGGAGAGTGGTGGAGCACCTGGAACGGAACAAGAGTATAAATGCCAACCAGCATGGATTCACGGAAGGCAAATCCTGTGTCACAAACCTTCTGGAGTTTTATGATAAAATAACAGAAATAAGTCACGAGAGAGAGGGGTGGGTTGATTGCATCTTCTTGGACTGCAAGAAGGCCTTTGACACAGTTCCTCACAAGAGATTAGTGCAGAAGCTAGAGCATCAGACACATATAACAGGAAGGGCACTGCAATGGATCAGAGAATACCTGACAGGGAGGCAACAAAGGGTCATGGTACGTAATGATGTATCACAGTGGGCACCTGTGATGAGCGGGGTCCCACAGGGGTCGGTCCTAGGACCAGTGCTATTTTTGGTATATGTGAACGACATGATGGAAGGGTTAGACTCAGAAGTGTCCCTGTTTGCAGATGATGTGAAGTTAATGAGGAGAATTAAATCTGATGAGGACCAGGCAGGACTTCAAAGAGACCTGGACAGACTGGACACCTGGTCCAGCAAATGGCTTCTCGAATTTAATCCTGCCAAATGCAAAGTCATGAAGATAGGGGAAGGGCACAGAAGACCACAGACAGAGTATAGGCTAGGTGGCCAAAGACTGCAAACCTCACTCATGTCTCCGGAAGTACACATCAATCAGATAACTGCTGCAGCATATGGGCGCCTGGCAAACCTGAGAACAGCATTCCGATACCTTAGTAAGGAATCGTTCAAGACACTGTACACCGTGTATGTCAGGCCCATACTGGAGTATGCAGCACCTGTTTGGAACCTGCACTTGATAAAGCACGTCAAGAAACTAGAGAAAGTACAAAGGTTTGCGACAAGGTTAGTTCCAAAGCTAAGGGGAATGTCCTATGAAGAAAGATTAAGGGAAATCGGCCTGACGACACTGGAGGACAGGAGGGTCAGGGGAGACATGATAATGACATATAAAATACTGCATGGAATAGACAAGGTGGACAAAGACAGGATGTTCCAGGGAGGGGGACACAGAAACAAGAGGCCACAATTGGAAGTTGAAGACACAAATGAGTCAGAGAGATTTTAGGAAGTATTTCTTCAGTCATAGAGTTGTAAGGCAGTGGAATAGCCTAGAAAATGACGTAGTGGAGGCAGGAACATACACAGTTTTAAGACGAGGTTGATAAAGCTCATGGAGCGGGGAGAGAGAGGGCCCAGTACAACCGGTTGAAGAGGCGGGGCCAGGAGCTAAGACTCGACCCCTGCAACCACAAATAGGTGAGTACACACACACACACACACACACACACACACACACACACACACACACACACACAACACTACACACACACACACACACACACACACACACACACACACACACTACACACACACACACTACACACACACACACACACACACACACATACACACACTACACACACTACACACACACACACACACTGCACACACACACTGCACACACACACACACTGCACACACACACACACACACACACACTGCACACACACACACACAACACACACACTGCACACACACACACACAGCACACACACACACACACACACACACACTGCACACACACACACACTGCACACACTGCGCACGCACACACCCACCCACACCCACACACACAACACACACACACACACACACACACACACACACACACACACACACACACACACACACACTGCACACATATATATATATATACAGCAATCCTAGTGTCTAATCGACATGTGCCTAGGACAAAATGGTAACTAACTATTGATCAGCATTATTGACTTCTGGCCTTTTAACCCTTAATGTGCTTACTTCAGAAGATGTATAAAGTGCATTCACTCTCTTATCCAACTCAACCTTAAGAATAAGAAATATGTACTTTACTGTAGTTCCAAACATCCATATGGCTCATAGGTTTTCCGCTTCCAGGTGTTCTTTTACCCTGGTTCTCTTGTTTCAAACATCTCTATTCCTATCTGCCTTATTAATTCCTCTTAAAATTTTATAAATTTCAATCTCTAATTTTTTTTTTTTTTTAGTTGCTGCTGCCAAGGATAGCAGATTCAGTGCTTTCAACCCCCTTCTTATAGCATATTTCTCTCAGATCTACAACTAAGCTTGTTCCAAACCAATGGACCGTTTTGAGCTGCATCTGCATGACCAGGTGGAAGGGCCATGTACTCAGTGATTAGCCTCAAGTTTCATATATAAAGTTCTGACAAGATTTAGTAACGTTATTAAAGGCTGTTCTGCAATTAACCAATTTGCATATGCCCAGTAATCATCCAGTTTGTGTTCCTCTGGCAATATGCTTTGTGTTATAACTGCCCCTAGATTTTTTTTTCAGTTTCTATACTCTCATAATGTACCCTGTCCTTTCCATGTTCCCTTCTCTAATTCATATGGCCTTGCATTTGTCTGGATTAATTCCAGGATTTTTGAACCACTTCTGCAAATTACCAGGCATTCCTGAAGATTATCTCTGTCCTCTTCTGTTTTAACAATACAATTGTTTCTTTATGCAGTAATGCAGTTAACATGTAATAAAATATTGGTAGGCAGAACAAATCACAAATTATGCAATGTATTTCTTACTCATCTCGTTAGCTTTACATCACCAAACACATGTATGAAGACTATTCTGACAGTGTCGGCTAGCAGTAGCAGTCTTAAGGTGCTGTTTTTGCTAGAATATAAATCTAAAACAAATTTCCCAGCTGCGCTTCTACTTAAATCATTTAACAATCGGACATTTCTCTATACATTTTCAGCCTATGTTTCCATTGATGAAAGATTTTATTTTAAATTACTGTATCAACATACAGTAACAAATACTATTACATTTTTGGAAAATCATTTGAAAGATGCATAAAAAAAAAGAATTCAAGCTCTGACATATATGATTACCACTTTCCAGAAATGAGAGACTAGATCAAAGCAATTATATACACCAACAACACAAAAATTTAAATTAATCATGTTTTGTATACTGTACAAACAAAACATTCTGTCCAAGGAAAAAAAAAAAAGTGTTACTATATAAAAATGAAGTCTGATTCCACTTGAAAGAAAAAGAAAGTGGAATGGAGTCCAAGCTTGTATACCTTGTGAATGAAAACTAACATTACCTCAAGGAAGGTAAGATTTGAGCATGACAAAGAACCAAAAAATATAGTAGACTGGTATGTTCAGCAATACTACACTGACTTATTTACATACCTCAAGCTTAGGTGCTATCATTTTGCATGGCCCACACCAGGTAGCATAGAAGTCAACAATGACTAACTTGTCACCAGCTTCTGACAATTTCTTGTCAAAATCTTCCTAGAAAATGTTAAAAAAAATTAATTAGCGAGAATCTCAGAGGGAAGGGACAGTAGGAGGGCACAGAGGCTGGGCAGCAATGGTACTAATGTCTAATAGATTAGCAACAAGTGTGGCCCTGGGGCAGCACATACATGGTTTATGCAATTTATTTCATATGTTTATAATGGCCCCTTTTGCCCTCATGTTAATCAACCACTGGGTATAACATTTACAGTACAGTACTACACTATATACCATACTCAGATAAACTAGGGGCCACAATTCTAACAAAGATGGTCAAAACAAAATTTAATACAATAGTTCAAAGAAAAGGTAATTACATTTTACAGTGCAGTATATGAAAATAACCTACACCAGAAAATTTTAAACTGTAATACATAACCATAGAATTCTGGAGCAAGTTTAAACTATGGAATTCAATGGATTTATTATGATCAAATTAAGCATTAAACCTCTGCAGGTCAGATTCCATGGAATGTCATGAGAGACTGAAGAGGTATAAAATATCAACTATCAGCAGCGCCCCACATGTCACCGACACATATGTTGCTAACATGGCTACATGTTGACAGGTACGCTGCCAACACTGGCACAAACATGCCCCCCCCTTCCCGACTGACACTGGCACAGACATTCCCCCCAACTGACACTGGCACAGACATGCCCCCTGACTGACACTGGCACAGACATACCCCCTGACTGACACTGGCACAGACATGTCCCCTGACTGACACTGGCACAGACATGCCCCCTGACTGACACTGGCACAGACATGCCCCCTGACTGACACTGGCACAGACATGCCCCCAACTGACACTGGCACAGACATGTCCCGCCAACTAACACTGGCACAGACATGGCCCCCCCGACTGACACTGGCACAGACATGCCCCCCAACTGACACTGGCACAGACATGCCCCCTGACTGACACTGGCACAGACATGCCCCTGACTGACACTGGAACAGACATGCCCCCAACTGACACTGGCATAGACATGCCCCCGACTGACACTGGCACAGACATGCCCCCCTGACTGACACTGGCACAGACATGCCCCCCTGAGACTGACACTGGCACAGACAGGGCCCCCAACTGACACTGACACAGACATGCCCCCCACTGACACTAGCACAGACATGCCCCTGACTGACACTGGCACAGACATGCACCCAACTGACACTAGCACAGACATGCCCCCTGACTGACACTGGCATAGACATGCCCCAACTGACACTAGCACAGACATGGCCCCCCCAGACTGACACTGCACAGACATGCCCCCAGAACTGACACTGGCACAGACATGCCTCACAACTGACACTGGCACAGACATGCCCCCCGACTGACACTAGCACAGACATGCGCCAACTGACACTGGCACAGACATGCCCCTCAACTGACACTGGCACAGACATGCCCCCAACTGACACTGGCACAGACATGCCCCCAGAACTGACACTGCACAGACATCCCCCCCAGACTGACACTGGCAGACATGCCCCCAACTGGCACTGGCAAGCCCACAACTGGCACACAAAATGCGTGCTAAAGGAATAACAGGAAAAGTCGGTCGATGGATCTATAATTTCCTCACTAACAGAACACAGAGAGTAGTCGTCAACAGAGTAAAGTCCGAGGCAGCTACGGTGAAAAGCTCTGTTCCACAAGGCACAGTACTCGCTCCCATCTTGTTCCTCATCCTCATATCCGACATAGACAAGGATGTCAGCCACAGCACCTTGTCTTCCTTTGCAGATGACACCCGAATCTGCATGACAGTGTCTTCCATTGCAGACACTGCAAAGCTCCAGGCGGACATCAACCAAATCTTTCAGTGGGCTGCAGAAAACAATATGAAGTTCAACGATGAGAAATTTCAATTACTCAGATATGGTAAACATGAGGAAATTAAATCTTCATCAGAGTACAAAACAAATTCTGGCCACAAAATAGAGCGAAACACCAACGTCAAAGACCTGGGAGTGATCATGTCGGAGGATCTCACCTTCAAGGACCATAACATTGTATCAATCGCATCGGCTAGAAAAATGACAGGATGGATAATGAGAACCTTCAAAACTAGGGAGGCCAAGCCCATGATGACACTCTTCAGGTCACTTGTTCTATCTAGGCTGGAATATTGCTGCACACTAACAGCACCTTTCAAGGCAGGTGAAATTGCCGACCTAGAAAATGTACAGAGAACTTTCACGGCGCGCATAACGGAGATAAAACACCTCAATTATTGGGAGCGCTTGAGGTTCCTAAACCTGTATTCCCTGGAACGCAGGAGGGAGAGATACATGATTATATACACCTGGAAAATCCTAGAGGGACTAGTACCGAACTTGCACACGAAAATCACTCACTACGAAAGCAAAAGACTTGGCAGACGATGCACCATCCCCCCAATGAAAAGCAGGGGTGTCACTAGCACGTTAAGAGACCATACAATAAGTGTCAGGGGCCCGAGACTGTTCAACTGCCTCCCAGCACACATAAGGGGGATTACCAACAGACCCCTGGCAGTCTTCAAGCTGGCACTGGACAAGCACCTAAAGTCAGTTCCTGATCAGCCGGGCTGTGGCTCGTTACGTTGGTTTGCGTGCAGCCAGCAGCAACAGCCTGGTTGATCAGGCTCTGATCCACCAGGAGGCCTGGTCACAGACGGGCCGCGGGGGCGTTGACCCCCGGAACTCTCTCCAGGTAAACTCCAGGCAAACCCCCAACTGACACTGGCACAGACATGCCCCCAGAACTGCCACCGACACAGACATGCCCCCAGAACTGCCACCGACACAGACATGCCCCCAGAGCTGCCACTGGCACAGACATCCCCCCCGACTGACACTGGCACAGACATGCCCCCAACTGCCACTGGTGCAGACATGCCCCCAGAACTGCCACCGACACAGACATGCCCCCAGAGCTGCCACTGGCATAGACATGCCCCCAGATCTGACACTGGCACAGACATGCCCCCAGATCTGACACTGGCACAGACATGCCCCAGATCTGACACTGGCACAGACATGCCCCCAGATCTGACACTGGCACAGACATGCTGCATCAACTTTTCTCCGCGTTATACAGTATTTCTACACCCTCACACTAGTACAATCATGTGGACAGGTGAGAGTGGCAAGTCATGGTGAGAGGATGATGGGTGCTGCAACATGTATGGGGGGTAAGAGTGACTAAACAAGGAATGTCTCTCACGGGTGACCAGACGCGCGCACACTCACACCACAGAAAAAAAAAAATCTGTAATCCTCTTGCAGTTTTATACCAATTATAAATATACTTTAACTATGGGACGTTTAACTAGGGTTGAGTGAGTTACCTTGTCACTGACTTGGTGCACCATTATGAAGGTAGCAGAGACGAGGGACAGGCGACGTGCTCACACTCGGGCAACTGTGACTCAAGTGAGGTGGAAACTGGTGTGTCCGCCTCACACCAGCTGCACTACACCGCCTCATTCAAACTAGGATGCCATGTATGTTTATGAAGGTATACACAAATACAGTTATATAGATTATCATACATAGCAGCATATGTGTAAAGTACCTAGAATAACCCAAAAAAGTCAGACAGGCTGACTTATTTCAATTGGGGTACTTGTAATATCTTATTATTACACTATAAAGGAGATAATATCTTACTATTATACTTAATACCGAGGCATACTAGTGGCCTTCTTTGTAATAAGTACTTTATTTTATAATTATCTTATAATATGTAAATCACACATTGTAATCTATACAGAGAAATAAACATTTGAATTTGAATGTTATTATTATATTATAAAGGAGATAATATCTTACCTGGAGAGAGAGTTTACCTGGAGAGAGTTTCGGGGGTCAACGCCCCCGCGGCCCGGTCTGTGTACTGTAAAGGAAATATATTAGGTAGTAGGAAGGAAGGAAAAAAGGAGAGAGGAGAAGAGAATGGAGGGAAACGATGAAAGGGAGGGGGAAGGGAGTGCCAGGAGGGAGGAAGGGAAGAAGGAAGAAAGAAGGGAAATAGGACGGAAGGAAGGAAGGAGGTTTTCATTCATTTTAATTCAGGTTCATTGCACAAATTTAGATTTTTTCAATTCTTTTATATAACAAAAATACAAATTTACCTCGGATAGCGCAATAAAATAAAAATCCCATGACTTCTTATTGATGATACACAGAAGATATTGGCACACATATATACAGTATATTATATAGATTTATCCTAGGATAACTAAATAAAGTAAGATAATAAAGTAAGGATTTATATAGGGAACTCTGCTCTCATCCTATTTAACTTGTATGCTCCTGCTGATAAGTTTAATTACTTGGAGCTCCCAACTTGTGCTCATTCTAAACCTACTCTCATTATTGGCGATTATAATGCAAGACACAAAAGCATTGGAAACTCACAATTTGGTAATCGTAATGGTAATTAAATGTTGTGGCCCGGTGGCCTGGTGGCTAAAGCTCCCGCTTCACACACGGAGGGCCCGGGTTCGATTCCCGGCGGGTGGAAACATTTCGACACGTTTCCTTACACCTATTGTCCTGTTCACCTAGCAGCAAATAGGTACCTGGGTGTTAGTAGACTGGTGTGGGTCGCATCCTGGGGGACAAGATTAAGGACCCCAATGGAAATAAGTTAGACAGTCCTCGATGACGCACTGACTTTCTTGGGTTATCCTGGGTAGCTAACCCTCCGGGGTTAAAAATCCGAACGAAATCTTAAGCAGTCATGATAATGCGCAAATTGTAGGTGACCTTGAACCCACACATATCTATGGAGGCGTCCTTGATCTGTCTTGGCTTCAACATTACTTCTGCCAGCTGTGAGTCTTCCATTGTAACAGATATAGCGTCTGACCATTTCCCTAGGCTAACCTCACTAGATATTGGTAATACTATCCTTCCTGGTGGGAGATTCAAGCGGAAACGTTTTAATGTTCCCCCTGATCAGCATGATGACTTTGTTGCACATGTGACTGACTGGTATAATTCCTATGAGTGTTCCTCTGTAGAGACCTTTAACAATGACCTTGTGAGCAGTATTCAGAACTACTTAGAACCGCCACTGAAACCTCATGGTAATGTAAACCCATCTAACTTCCATAATAATCATACCCCTTATAAAAACCATACCTATTACAATGATTCTAAACTTCGTACACTGAAACGTACTGCTCGCAGACTAGGCCTAGCCTATAGAAACCATCGTACCCCTGGAATGCTGAAGCTCTTCCAAACTGTCCTTGCTGCTGCCAGAGAGCGTGACAGAACTGCGGCAAACAGACTAGGAACAATTTGTCAATGGTCTCAATGCTCACACCCCACTTAGCCGGGCATGGAGGGACATAAATAGAAATAAGGGTAACAGAACTGGGCATATCGCGCACCCTCATCCCTTACATAGGGCGAATGAGTTAGTGCTTGGGTTGCTACATCTAGCTATGACAATCTTCCCAGTACCACACAGGAAAAATTAAATGACAAATATGATGCAAGGGAGAGACTTGTTTGTTTTATGCTCAGCAAGGCAGATGACTGCAACATTCCATCCACTATGGAAATAAGTCACTCTGTCTGACTTTTTTGAGTTATCCTATGTTCTCTACACATATGCTGCTATGTATGATAATTCTATGTAACTATTTGTGTATACCTGAATAAACTTACTTATGAACTTGATGCAGCACTAACTAAGGGCAACTCCACGTCGCCTGGTGAGGATGGTATTACTTACAACATACTCAGATTGCTGTGTCGAGTACCAGGTAATCCATTACTTGAATTATATAACATGAACTATGTAACTGGGGAGCTCCCTCAATCTTGGACCAACAGCCTCATCATTCCAATTCCTAAGCCCAATCAACAAAATGCATTTCGCCCAATATCTCTTACTAGCTGCTTGTGTAAAACATTTGAGAGAATGGTTCTTGTTAGGTAAGACACATAAGCAACAGTTAGATATCTTTATTTCGAAACGTTTCGCCTACACAGTAGGCTTCTTCAGTCGAGTACAGCAAAGTTGATGAAATTAAGACACATGTGCAACATCTGGGTATCTTCATTGTAGACGTTTCGCCATCCAGTGGCTTTATCAATACAAATTCTAGGACATAACTTGAAGACAGTAGAACTACGTACAGAAGATGAGGTAATCAGTCCCTCAACCTAGGAGTAGGTGCGAAGAGCACCATAGTCGTGGAGATTTTGAAGCAGAAGAAAGGAGCCTGGCGCTTATATAGTAACGTCAGGTGTAGCAGACGAGGGCATAGTCACTGGTAGGCAGGATTCCCCAGTGGAAGTAGGTCCTTCCCAAAGAGATGGGTTAGTTGTTGTAGTAGTTGTCGTAGCCGTGAAGGTTATGTACATGTCCTCAGAATCAAGATTCCATGATGTTGCAGTAACCTGACGTTACATAACCTTCACGGCTACGACAACTACTACAACAACTAACCCATCTCTTTGGGAAGGACCTACTTCCACTGGGGAATCCCGCCTACCAGTGACTATGCCCTCGTCTGCTACACCTGACGTTACTATATAAGCGCCAGGCTCCTTTCTTCTGCTTCAAAATCTCCACGACTATGGTGCTCTTCGCACCTACTCCTAGGTTGAGGGACTGATTACCTCATCTTCTGTACGTAGTTCTACTGTCTTCAAGTTATGTCCTAGAATTTGTATTGATAAAGCCACTGGATGGCGAAACGTCTACAATGAAGATACCCAGATGTTGCACATGTGTCTTAATTTCATCTTGTCGGTATTATATACCATTCTTACACAGCAAAGTTGATAGAAGCAGAAGAGACTTGAAGACGATGTAATCAGTCCATCACCCTTGAAGTTTTGAGGTGGTCAGTCTCTCAGTCTGGAGAAGAGTAATGTTCCAATTCCATAGTCTGGAACATATTGTTCCAGACTATGGAACAATACTCTTCTCCAGACTGAGGGACTGACCACCTCAAAACTTCAAAGGTGATGGACTGATTACATCGTCTTCAAGTCTCTTCTGCTTCTATCAACTTTGCTGTACTCGACTGAAGAAGCCTACTGTGTAGGCGAAACGTTTCGAAATAAAGATACCTAACTGTTGCATATGTGTCTTACCTAACAACCTGTCGGTATTTTATACCATTTTATTGTTCAGAATGATTCTTAATCGTCTCATGTACAGAATCAAACAATTTTTGTCTCCCCGGTTGCATGGTTTCATGCATGGAAGGAGCGTGCATCATTGCATTACCACCTTTCTCACGCTGCACACTGACAGCTCATACACTACCTTCCTTGACCTTAAATCTGCTTTCGATGTAGCCAACCGACATGTAATCATTAGTGAACTTGCCAGAATGGATGTTAGAGGATGGCTTCTCCGCTGGATTAATTAAAGGCTACATGTCAAACAGAAAGTCGTCTGTGTTGTTCCAGGGACATAGAAGTATAACTAAAAACTTTGAATGAGGAACCCCACAGGGAGGTGTGCTCAGTCCCACACTATTCAATATTCTAATTAATGCCTTACTTAATGCTATGCCTAGCCAGCCCCATCATTATATGATTAGTTTTGCTGATGATATAATGATTCACACCACTTGTTCTATCTAGGCTGGAATATTGCTGCACTCTAACAGCACCTTTCAAGGCAGGTGAAATTGCCGACCTAGAAAATGTACAGAGAACTTTCACGGCGCGCATAACGGAGATAAAACACCTCAATTACTGGGAGCGCTTGAGGTTTCTAAACCTGTATTCCCTGGAACGCAGGAGGGAGAGATACATGATTATATACACCTGGAAAATCCTAGAGGGACTAGTACCGAACTTGCACACGAAAATCACTCACTACGAAAGCAAAAGACTTGGCAGACGATGCACCATCCCCCCAATGAAAAGCAGGGGTGTCACTAGCACGTTAAGAGACCATACAATAAGTGTCAGGGGCCCGAGACTGTTCAACTGCCTCCCAGCACACATAAGGGGGATTACCAACAGACCCCTGGCAGTCTTCAAGCTGGCACTGGACAAGCACCTAAAGTCAGTTCCTGATCAGCCGGGCTGTGGCTCGTACGTTGGTTTGCGTGCAGCCAGCAGCAACAGCCTGGTTGATCAGGCGCTGATCCACCAGGAGGCCTGGTCACAGACCGGGCCGCGGGGGCGTTGACCCCCGAAACTCTCTCCAGGTAAACTCCAGGTATACACCTGGAAAATCCTAGAGGGACTAGTACTGAACTTGCACACGAAAATCACTCACTACGAAAGCAAAAGACTTGGCAGACGATGCAACATCCCCCCAATGAAAAGCAGGGGTGTCACTAGCACGTTAAGAGACCATACAATAAGTATCAGGGGCCCGAGACTGTTCAACTGCCTCCCAGCATACATAAGGGGGATTACCAACAGACCCCTGACAGTCTTCAAGCTGGCACTGGACAAGCACCTAAAGTCGGTTCCTGACCAGCCGGGCTGTGGCTCGTACGTTGGT